CCAAATAACTTGCAACACCAAATAAGGTTCAAAATAATTAAACAAAAAGTTCACAACAACTTTTTTTACAATACCACTTTGATTTTTTGAAACGATTAAACTAGTTCAACAGTTTTTCCATATTCCTTGTCAAGCGAACAAGTCTAATCTTTTAATACCTGTGAATCAAGCAGAATTTTTTGCAAGTATTTTACAACGGATATATATCTGTCTCTTATTTGTTGTGAGCAGATATTTCTTTTTTATTCACATTTTTTCAAGTTTTTTTTTCACTTTTATTGCATCTTTACTTTTGAAACTCAACATCAGTCAGAAATAACAAATAACTTTTATGATAAGATATCTAGAAAATATTAAAACACTCAATAACTAATCCAACAAACATTAGTTTGTATTTCCTATCAAATAAAATGTGTAACAAAATATTAAAAAGCAAAGTACTTGGTTTTTACCTTCTTTGCCAGAATCCATTTTATCTAAATCAAGGCGGGTAGTTGAATCAAAAGAATTAATTCTTAAAAGATCTTTGGAAAGTTAACAGCAGAAGGTTTAAAAAAATTTATCGTCAATGATATTAAAAGATTCTTTAATTTATAAAATAAAATATAAATTAGTAGTCCTTTATCTTGGAAAATGGTCAAGTATTTTTCAAACAAGGGAGTTATACCAATAAAAAATTTGACCGACCCAAGTAATTCTTAAAATAATTCCTATAATAAAAGAAACTTAAAAAAAACTTATTAAACTTTCTTAACTTAACTTTATTAACTTATTAACTTAACTTATTAAATTACATTTTAGAAACTTTTAGTATGTAAATTTAATGGCAATTAATATGAATTTCAATTTTCTAGTTCAACAGCTGACTTGTTAACTCTTTTAACAAAATGATCCTATTGCGCATTAGATGGAGACGGATAATAGGTTATTGCTCTTAATATATTAAATTAATTTAAACTTGAATCGGTTTTGATTTCTTTGTGACACCCTGGAGCTTGCAGTGACTTGTAAATTTTAACCCCAAAAAAAGTACTTACTGCTAAAAATTATCACAATATTCTTATGATGAATGACAACACTCTTACTAAATCTTCTACTTAATTAGATTATCATTCACTAGAGACCTCTCATGGAAACCATAAAGATAGTCCATTGTAATGTTAGCATCTGCTAGAGTTGCAGTTAGAAGATTCTTCAATGGTACTTTTTTTTTTCTCATCAACCAAGCTACCATTTCTTGTTTCATCAACTTCTCCAGCTAAGTCGCTTGCTTTACTAAATTTTTCCCTTCATGCTTCAAAACTTTTATTTATCTAAAATTCCTTCCTGTTTTTATGTTTTCCCAACTCATACAATTTAAATTACGCAAATAAAAACAAATAGTGAAATTATAGTAACCCTTCTGATTCCTGGGTAGGTGAATATATTTTGTTCTTTTAAATCTATTTTTTTTATTTTGTGTTTTTTCTACTCAGACTATGATTTCATTTACCAAATGCATATTTTTTTTTTAATTTAAAAAACTTATTTTATTTACTAAACTCATTTTTTTTTTTTTAATTGACCACCCAGATTATATAATAGATTTATTCCGAATTTTATGATTCTAAAACTTATTATTCTAAAAGTTATTTGCTAAAAAAAAAAAGATTTTTTTAGGTGAGATTTATGATTTGTAAATTTAAAAACCTAAAGAAAAACCTGAAGATTTTCTAAAGAAAACCTGAAAAGTTTAAAAATTGTTAAAAAAAAAAGTATACCTGAAGAGTTTATAATATGTTTTATAATTGCTAAAGTAGCTGCTCTTGATTTATCATTCACATTTTCTAACTTCAACTGAAGGAATCCAACAACACGATCAGGAAAGTTTTGTGCTATAAAAAAATAAAATATGTCTTATAATTACTTTATCATTTATTGAACTTATTTAAAACTATTTATTATTTAGTTATAATTTTATTTAGTTATAATTTGTGTAGAAAATACTTTAAACAACAAACAAATGGGTACAGTAAATTTTACTAAACATTTTAAACACAACTTAGAATTGTTCTTTTTACACATTTAATGTGTAATGAAAGTAACTAAATTACAATTTTTTCAGAATTAAAATTATTCTTATTTTTTATCCATTTTTTCAAATTATTAGTTAATTGAAAAAAAAAGATTAATTAGTAACAATATTTGGATAAAAACATTTATATATATGTGTGTGTGTATATTCTGATTCACTCCCAACAAGACTGCAAGCAACCACTATTAAGTTGGGAGTTACTAGAAAAAAAGAATGGAGTTATAGAGCAAGGAAATGGTTGCAGGGAGAGTTTGCAGAATAACAAGTTAAGCGAGAATGAGTTTTAGTTAATGGAACTAGAGATGATAGCTCCTTTGAGCAGCGACTATGATTTTTTAGAATGCAGTGTTTGTAGAAAAGAAAAACAGATGGAACTTTACAACTATAGGAAAGAGGTTCAAGCTTAGCCGATAGAGCAGGTCCAATTAAATTTACAATGTGTTTTTGAACCTAGTCTAGAAGAGAAAGAGCATCATTAGAAGAACCAGCCCAAATATGACAACTGTGTTCTATAAAATAATGAATAAGAGATTTGTAGAGGTTGAGAATGAATTCAGCAGAGAGAAAATGGTGAGCACGATAAAGAGAAGCAACCTTAGCAGATGCTAATTTAGCAATCGATTGTATTTATGGTTTCCATGAAAGGTCAGTAGTAAATGATAATCCAAGAAGACGTAAAGAAGAGAACTCAGTGAGAGGGTTGCCATTCATTAATATAGAAATGAAACGGAACGAAAATCAAGGATCGCATGGATTGTTGACAGTTATTTGACTCAATTTGCTTACTCAATTCTTTGACTCAAAGACATTAATAAGACACTAATAACAGAAAGAAGACAGATTGGACAATAATTAGAGGGGTCAGAATATTCACCAGAGTTTTTGAAAATTGGAACATCATTTTCCAGCAGGTAGGAAAACAAGACTCAATCAAGCACTTATTAAAAAAGTTTTGAGAAAATCGTAGATAGTTCTGGAGAATAGTTTTGTAAAACTTTGACAGAAATGTTGTCATGACCACCATGTCTGGACCACAAGCCATAGAAGAGTTTAATTGAGTCTAGACTTGAGCATTGGAAGCTGGAGTAATTTAAATGCCTAACAATGGGTTAACCTGTTTAACTGGAATGAAAGGATAAGATTCAAGAGTTGAATTAGAAGAAAAGTTCTTTTCAAATAGTTCTGCCTTATTCTTGGGAGAGGTAATAAGATCAGTCCTATGAGATTGGGCACTACAAATATTCATTATGTAATAGTTATTGTCATATTTATCTTCATCTTTTGATTCCTCACTTAAAACATTTACTTCAGTTTAAACTATTTCTTCATAAAATATATTATTTCATATAATACATTAGTAACTTCTAAGTGTATTGCATGTTAATAGCATATTTGATTAATTATATATGATAATTTTAATTAAACCATCATTTGTTTCTGCAACCATGCTAGTTTCTAGATTCAAGTTAAAAAAATTTTAATTTCAACTTAAATCTAGAAACTGGCTTTAGATTTTTTTTTAAATTTTTTGAGGTCAGCAATAATTTGCTGACCTCAATCTTTTAGAGGTCTGCATCAGGTCGGCAATCTTTATAGTGTAGTCGACTTTTATGGTAAAAAAAAGCCTTTTTGGACTACAATTTTTTTACCTCGTAGCTGTATTTTATTGTCGTCGAAATGTCAAAAATTAATGCAAAAGTACATTAAATTTTATTGTTTTTTAAAAAAAACCGCAATAATAATGACTAAAAAGTTTTTTTTAATTAGTGGTGTTTTTGTTCTTGTTTTATTAAAAAACATTTTAAAAACATGCGTAAGTGTTGTTACATAGACTATCTTATAGCCTGCTGCTACAAGGAAGTGTTGCTACATCGACTATCTTATAGCCTGACTCGCAAGAGAGTGCTGCTACATCGACTGACAAATAGCCTGACTTGCAAGGGAGTGCTGCTACATCGACTGAGGGTTTGGTTTAGGCAGGCAGTCTATCATTTAAAAAAAATTTTTTTTTTTTGAGAGAGAGAAAGAAAGAGAGAGAATTTATAAGCAACAATAAAGCTCAGGTTTCATTTGAAGATAAAGCAACTGTAGCACAAATTGACTTTTTAAACGACAATATAGATGAACTAGTACAACAAACTAAATTATCTTTTGTAATTATTCATAAACCAATTGATCTGTGTGTTAGTAAATGTTGTTTTTCATAAGAAGGCAGAATATATATTCTAAAAACTTCTAAAAGTTTTTCCATAATGGTTGTTAATCAAGGGGCATATTTACAGCATACCAAATCTAATGCAACTCAAAAAGCTTTAGTAAAAAAGTAGAAAAATCAAATAATAATCAAAATCAAACTTGACCATTTCACCAAGGTAATGTTTGGAACAAAACATTACCTTGGTGAAAAACAAAACAAAATAAAATTGATTTTGTTAATATTTATTTCTTATTTTCTTATTTTTTTCATTAAATGTTTATTCTTAAAAACAAATTAATATTGCAAAAAATTAGTATCGCAAAAAACAGTAAAGCAAAAAATTGTAAATATTCCTACTAACCAAATTTATCTCAAAAGATTAACACCAAAAATTTAGTTGTTTTACCATGTTGAGGTAAATTGAGCCTTACACTCAAACAAGAATTTTGGAAGGTTGGCATTAAAGCGGTCTTCTGTTTTGGTAATTCCTTACCTTATATACTAGTAAGATATAAGGTAATTCCTTACCTTATATATTACTACTAGCAGTAAGCAACCCGTACTACGGGTTGTTAGTAAACAATTAAAAAAAAACCCACATATAGAAAAGCCTAGAAACTACTTTAAAATAGAAAAGCCTAGAAAATGACATAAGTCGACTATTAACTACTATTAAATTAGCGTATTAATATTATCAGATGCCATAACAAATCAAAACTAATTCAAATTACAATTTTAAATTATGACAATGGTAACTAAGTGATGGTTCATCAAAATCAACAAATAATAGGTATTTTATGTCATAATAACATATTCTTGTACATTCTTCATATTTACAAAAGTTTTGATTTTTTATGAAATAAAATATCGCTTTAAAAAATTATAAATATTATAATACTAATAATATTATAATATATTAGAATAATGTTTTATTAATTTATATTATCTTAAGTAAATATTAATTTTACTAATCTTAAGTAAACACCAAAAATACAAATCTTTATATCTTTATACATAAACATATATATATATATATATATATATATATATATATATATATATATATATATATATATATATATATATATATATATATATATATATATATATATATATATATATATATATATATGTATATGTATAAAGATTTATATAAAAATTTTTATTAAAATAATATATAAATAAAATTAATTAATGATTATTATAAAATAGTAATCATAATAATAAAAATAGTATAAAAACTACAACAAAAATAATAACAATAATAATACTAATAAAAATGTCATTTTTTTTTATAAACACGATAGCAAACAATACAAAGTTGGCAACCTTAAATTAAAAAAAAAATGAATACCAATGCAAACATTGCACTAAAACATATAACAATATGAACTATTCACTGCAATGAACAATACACAAGAATACAAAAACAATAACAACAATAACAACAACAACAACAACAACAAAAAACAATGCAATTAGCGCACAAAATTAAATTATAAGGAAACAACGTACAAAAATATTTAAACTAAGCACATTACATTATGCAATACGGTATGAACAGAATATACACATAATGCATTACGGTATGAACAGAAAATAATTTTAAAAATTAAAGTTAAAAAAAAAGTTCTTTTTCTTTCTTTTATTTATTGGTAGTAAAATTCAATGTTCTTTTTAATTGTTATTTTCCATTTTCGAACATTTTTAAACATTTAACTTTGTATTTAGTTTATGGTAGTTTTTGTTTTTTTCTGTTTTTTTTCTCCTCAGTCATTTTATCTATTTATATTACTTGATCTTGTTTTTATATTACCTGTTGCTGTTTTTTTTATGTCACATAAACATTAAAAAAAAAAAACATACTGAGAACTTGAAAACAACGCAACACTTCATTCTTGTTTTTCATGCCTAAAGGATTTGAAAGATCTGTTTCTGAGCATGCCTAAAAATACAAATAAATACTTACATATAAAAATTTTTAAAATATTACTGAAAAAAATCAACTTTTATTCTTCAATAAAAAAATTGGCATTTAGGGTCTTGTTATAAAATTCAGACTTGAGGTAGCTTTCCTAAATCCAGTTCCATTTTGGAAAAATTTAACTGTTGTGAGCACCAGTAAAAAACTTTTAAGAATATCAGATCAGAACAAAAACAGACTAGGAAAAGTTTTTTTTTTAAAAGTAGGAGACACTTGATGCACCCTAACAAAGCAGGTAAACTTGGATGAGTTTATAGAAAACCTTAGTTTATAGTACAATAGAAAACCACAAAATGATTGAACAAGCAAACACCTGTTTTGAATCTTTTGTTTTTGTAATACATGATCAATGGCCTCATCAACAGAGATTAAGAATTGATTTAATACTTTACATAAACAGCTCCAGTAACTAGGGCTAGAAAAACCACAAAATCAACTGCAAAAGTAAATCCTACACCCTAAAAATTACAACCTACACCCCAAAAAGCTGTAGCTTTAATTTAGTGGGACATGTACAACATTCTGTACTAGGAACTACAATTAGGACAGCAACTTACTGTGCTTAACTCAACAAAATTCAAACAGAATCCATAAAAAAAATACCCTGAGACACAACAAAGTTTACAACCCAATACCATTAAATGTGACCTCGACATTCTCAAAAGTCTCAAAAGTCTTAAAAGACTTAAAAGACTTGAAAGTCAGAGGAAAAGTTGAAAAAATAAAATCCACAGAAAATTGCATGTTAGGAAGGCTTAAAAATGTTTTACGCAGCAGGCGCTTAACTTTGTAGCGCACACTTTAAACAATATATGCCACATCTTGAATATGCCAAATTACATCTTGAATATATCAAATTACGGTAATGCAAGTGCTTAATATATATTAATATATATATACACACACATGAAATGAAAACAATGTGCACAAATTTATTTTATGCAAAAAAAACAAACAACAAAGTGTTATTTGATACCTGTGCATGAAGTCCATTCATTATCAGGTCGAGTAATGGTAAAAGCATTAGAGATCTATCACAACTTGCAGCATTTAAAATCAAACAAAGAGACTAAAAATAAGGATAACTATAAACAATTATATAAATTTAGAACTAATTTTTAAATTAAGAAGAATAAAATAATAACTATTCAACAACACTTTTGTATAAAACTGTTCAATAACAATTATCAACAACTGTTTAAAAACTCCATTGCAACACAGAAGTTAAAAAAAAAACAGTTGCATCTGTTGCAAAAAACTAAGTACCTATGTACCTGGTGCACAAAAATTTTATAACTTACATATTGTTTTGAAAAAAATACAATTTTTAATTAATAACTATTTTTTAATTAAAAAAAAAAATGATCCAAAAAATCATTTTTTAGAATCAAGCATCTTTTCTATCTTTCTATCGAGCATCTTTTATCTTTCAAAAAACAGTAAATTGAAAAAAATTTTGAAATATTTAAATTTAGTTTTAATACAAATATAATGTAATCAAGATTTAAATCTAAGCTTAAAAAAAAAGCAAAACCAAAAGCTGTTACTACAAAATCAAATATTTAAAATCTCTTATAAGCTGCTACTTGAAAATCAAGTATCTTAAAAAAAATTATTTCATGATTTCAAAACTGAATTCTTGAGAAATCATGTAGTATCTTGAGGGTTTTCACTCTTTTTCAATCTGACTGATAAAAACACTGACGGTAAAACATATTTTATTTTAAATGCTTTTTATATTTTTAATGTTATAAACTGTATAAAACAACAATAAAACAGCATGGCAAGGTTGTTTTATAATAATCTTTCACACTGACGGTAAAACAAGTTTTATTTTAAATGCGTTTTATGTATTTAATGTTATAAACTGTATAAAACATCATTAAAACAGCATGGCAAGGTTGTTTTATATTAGCACAAGCATTACCAAAACAACTTCACAGTATTGTTTTATTGTTGTTTTATACAACTTTTTGCAATAACAATTTAATACACATTTAAAACAAAATGTGTTTTATCGTCAGTATGAACAAAATGTGTTTTATCGTCAGTATGAACAGCGTATTTAAGATATGAAAACAACTCAGTAGGGATGTCTCAGCAGGGATCCCTTTAATGAATATTTATATCAAGATTTTTAGTTACATTACATAAACTTCCATTTTATTAACCTGGAAAAATCAGTTTATTGTTTTCCATAAACATTCTGTAAAAAATGTATCTAACAAAATGTATATATAAAAACAGTAAATAAAACAAATAAAAAGTACATAATAATGTACTTAAATAAGTGTATATAAATATATAAATAAATATATAAAATCATTGATTTAAAAATGTTTTTTTTTTTTTATTAATTTAAAATTCCTACCAAATAGAAGCCATTTTGTGCAAAGCTTAACTTAAGGTAATCTAATAAGTTTTATGTTGAATGCCTATGGTCTGTTTTTACTCAATGGTTTCTATAGTGTGAGAAGATTTTATCATTATGGTTCTTCCAGTTTCTTTACAATAAAATACCTTTGTAACAGAATGACAATCCCATTCTTCTTTCCAGTGTTAACATGTCTGCTACAATCATCTTTATAGACTTCCATAAATTGTATTCATTAAGAATAGTTGTTATACCTTTTACAACAGTATCTGATTTTCCATCAAGTAGATCCAGTGCTTGTAACTGCTCTTTGTTTACTCTTCTAACATGCCTCAAACTCAGATTCAGAAGTTGACGTTGATGTTGTTGCAACAACGTCAACTATGTGTATGGAATGCTACATTTAACATAAGTTTAAATATTTTATATAAAACTAAAAAGGCATAAAACATTATCACATCTTTCATTTTTTATAATCAAGTTTAATCTTTTTAAGTTTAATTTTACTTTTTTTTAGATAATAATGATTTGTTTTTTTTATTTTTAATACTGCAGTTTTGAGTTATTCATTGTACAATAGAATTACTCAAAATTCCTAAAAGTTATATCATAATTTGTAGTCAAAATTTAATATGTAGCATATTAAAGTATGGTTTAATCTCATAACTAATATTTTAATATGCAGCAAAGTTCAAGATCTCATAACTCGAACATAAATTATAACTCAAAAGTTCAAGATCTTATAACTCGAACATAACTCAAAAGTTATCTGATAATCTCATGCTCATGTAAGATAATGACAGTGTTAATTTCTTATTAATTTATATTTGCAATCTAAATCAATAACTATTTTGTTTGTATGAAGTGTGTTAAAATACTTTCAATAAATTTTTTTTTTTTATTAATTATTATTATAACTATTATTTTACAAAATACCTGAGTCAAAATATGATGTTCTGAATGTCTTCTATAGAGACCAGTTATCCCATGCAATAACCTTTGGATATATTCTTCTAGCTTTTCTTTAGTCATTAAGTGACACATATACCCAAAAGCTTCTATGACTGCTAGTCTTACCTAAAACATTTTTATAAACATTATTTTAGAGTATGAAAATATGTTGCATTCATAATTATAGAAATATGTATCATTATCATTATCATCATAATGCAACTTTTCTGTAAAAAAATGTTGATAACCAACTTTACAAACCATATTGACCATGGCATTAGAATTAATCTCTAGCTAAAATATATTCAATTTCTTGTAAAAAAAAAAAAAAAACATCAATTTTTATATTCTTTAATCAACCTTTCTAAACTATGTTTCACTGCCATTACACACTGAAATTTGTTCTAATTCATAGCATCATCATAGCATCATCATTAATTCCAAATCATAGCATCATAATACAACAGGACAAATTGAAATTGATTTTCATCACACACTAGATGCATATTCTGAATTAAAGCATCATAAGAAACTAGACATGTGTTTTGAATTATAAACTTATAAAATTATAAAAAAAAATTATAAAAATTATAAAAAAATTATAAAAAAAATTATAAAAAAAAAAACAAACTAGATACATGTTCCAACATTATCAAACACATGACATCATAACACATATAACACAAATATGTTTTAAAGATTTTTTTCTTTAATTTTTTAAATCACTTTTTAGTTACTAAAAATGGAGATATTTAGTTATTAGTGATACTAGTAGTTGTTTTTGTTAACTCTACAAGGAAAGATAATTTTATAATCTTGACCTCCAACATAGAGAGATCATTTTTGAATACTAACATCACAGTAAAATGCGCAGTCAAAATTGAAAATCTTAACACTCCTATTTGTTTTCTTATTCTTTATTGATATACATATATACATATATATATATATATATATATATATATATATATATATATATATATATATATATATATATATATATATATATATATATATATATATATATATATATATATATATATATATATATATATATATATATATATATATATATATATATATATATATATAGATAGCCATATATATATATATATAGATATATATATATATATATATATATATATATATATATATATATATATATATATATATATATATATATATATATATATATCATCTTCACTTCCAACAAGGCTGCAAGCAACCTCTATTAGAATTAGAAGTTACTGGAAAAGAAAAGATGAAATTTATAAACCAAGATAATGATTAACAGGCAACTTAAAAGATTCCAAATTTAATGTATCTATTTTAAGATTTCTATCATCTTCTAAAATGTCAAATAAAGTAATAATTTTAAGGGAAACACAGGACAGGAAGTCTTTTGTTTATTATTTATGTAGTACTAATATATTACAATCGACTGTTACATTTGGCATTTACTATTTCAAGATTCGAAATTATGAAAATAGAGATTTTGAGATGGAGATCTTTGTCCAAGATTCATGTATTGGAGCTGTAAAGTTGAGAAAGGAGTATAAATTTTTAATAGCTTCATAGGCTATAGGGGATGTATAGATATATAACTGTATATACACCATTTGCTATAGATATACAGTTTATGTACAAAAAAACAGAATTTTTTAAAATCTATTGCTGCCCCAAATTTAAAGTTCAGCCTGTGTAGTGGTAACTCCATTGCATATTCTCCCTAAATCAGTCGAAGTATGTATGTAAAAATATGATACAAAAATATAGAAAAAAATTTACTGCACTTTTTATTTTAGAATAATGTTTATATACAGTACTGTTAAAACTATTATGGATTTTACAATTTCATTAAAAATTTTGAATTTTAAAGAGACAAAATTGTCTTTTTAATTATTTTTTGAACTTTCGTAAAATAACCTAAAACATTTGTGGATCAATTTTCCAAGACTGTCCTTTAATTTTAAGGCCATAAATGGTTTTTAAATTGATTAGTTCCTAAACATGATATAACCAGATGATAAAACATTTATAACTGGCACTATTCAGTCAGTTTTCAATTCAGTTTAAATGATATCGAATCTATTCTAGTTTTGTTTCTAAACAAAGAAAAACAAGTGTTGTTGAAAATCTACTAAAAATTAGTGACAAATTATATATTGGTAAAAAAAGGGACATGAGTTCAAAGAAAAAAGGCCAAAAAATGATTTTGTTTGAAGCAGAAAAGAAGTGAAAAAAAAACTGTTTTTGTACTATAAGAAAATCAATATTAGCAGATACTAACTTTGCAATTGATGCAATAATTATTAAGATTGTATATATGGTTTCCATGAGAGGTCAGTAGGGAAGGATAAACAAAGAAGACATAAAGTAGAAGACTTATTTTGTTGGAACTGATATTCACAAACTACTTAAAACTCAAGCTGTTGCAGATTAGAGAATAGGTTCAAGCTGTCTGTTTTAAGCAATCAAAAAGTGAGGACATTTGGCCAAAAAAAATTTTGATATGTCTAAAGCAATAGACTTGGCTTTACCTTTTTCATCTAATGCACGATAGAATCTTTCAGTTACAGTAGTTAGCAATTCAGCTATAGAACAAAAAGATCAACAACCGTATTGATTGTCTCTGACAATCAATACGGTTAATAGATTAAAGGGATATTAGAAATATAGTTGTTAGATTAAAGAAGGGATGTTAGCAATTCGTTGAATGTTAGCAATTTGTTGAATGTTAGCAATTAATTGAAGACCCAAAAATCTTGCTATAATAGAGACTAATCTGATGTTTGACTAAGCTTAATTTGATGTTTGATTATACCTAACTTAGTTGATGCCCTCAAAATTAACTAAAGCTGGCTAAACTAAGTATTTAAGTGTTTGACCTATTTGAAAGAGATATTAAATATGGTCTTATGAGTTGTTATGAAAATAAAGCAAAAGTATTAAAAATTTGAAAAATCTACTATATACCCTCCTTTAACTCTTCTACTATATACAATTACAAAAAACACCTTCCTCTAATTCTCAATTTAGATTCAGCCTTAAACAGATATAATAAACAGATAGGCAGATATATAAAATAAACAATTCACTTACTCTTCCCTCCCTTGAGGAACCCAACCAAACACTAAACATTATTTCAAATGCAGTGAATATTTCTCCATAAAAACGATCTTTTGCAATATCAGGATACGGAGCATTTTCAATGTTGGCACAGTACTCTATAATAGCTTCACTAAATGATCCAATACCTATTAATATAATAATATATAAGATGCATTCTCAAAAAACTTTTTAAAAATTGTGATTTTGAAAATCTTTTTTTAAGCTTTAGGCCTATTTTATGCGAGTTATTAAAATATATAATTTTTAGTTCATTAAAATATCAATTTAAATTTAAACTTTACTAATCAGATAAATTCACATTGCCAAAAACTTTTTTATTTTTTCCATTTTAGAAAGAATTATAAAAAAAAAACTTTTCTTAATTTTTTTTAAAATGGAACAATTACTCAAAATTAGATTTTACAATTTTTTTTATATTTTATATTTTGAATACTTGAAGTTGCATTTAACCAAATTAACAAAAAAAAAAAATTAAAGATTTGTAATTTAGGATGTTTCAAACATATTTTTTAAACATTTAAGTTTTATTTTTTAATTACTTGTTCAAGTAAATTTTGTTTTATAATATATTGTAAGACACTTGAAGAAAATAACGCAAAATAGAGAAAAAATAGAGCATACTATTAATTACAAAAAACTTGAAGAAAATAACGCAAAAATGATATATAAATAATGAGAAAAAATTAGCAATTATTATTCAATTTGAAAACTTTTAGAGAGAGAGAAATTATAGTAAAAAAAACTAGAAAATGAAAAAAATATCAAAAGAAAAATGAAGTAACAAAAAGTGAAAGAATTGCTCATGTCAAAGGTTAATGTAAATGAAGAGTCAAAAAATGGTTAAAGAAGATTTCCAGTATAAAATACATGTCTTTATTTCAAGGTTAAAAACCAAAAAAAAACAAAAAATGAGAAAATTAAAAAAATTAAAATGGTAAAAGAAACGCACCTAATGATTCACAATGATTCAAAAAAGAATGATGTTCTGTAAAGAAATTCTTCGTAAAGAAATTCTCCGTAAATTTTACTTTCTTCTATTTTAACTAAACCTTAACTTTTGGAAAAAAAACTTAAAAAATTGTAAACAGTGAGAAGAGAAAAAATTGTAAACAGTGAGGAGAGAAAAAATATAAACAGTGACGAAAGAAAAAATTGTAAATAGTGAGGAGAGAAAAAATTGTAAACAGTGAGGAGAGATGCTGATTATTGGTAAAAAAGTTTTTTCACCAACCAAAAAGATATTTTCTCAAAGAATTTTTTATCTACAACAACCTACAACCTTTTCAATCTATATAAAATATCAACATATTTTTTCCAAAACAACCTACAATCTATACAATTTATATGAAACATTAACATATTTTTCCCAAATCAACCTACAATTTTTACATTTTTTACATGATACATATTTTTTCTATTAATTATTATATTACAACAATCTTATAAAATATCCCCCCCCCTCCTTTTCAGATGTTTTACTACCTTTTTTAGATATTAACTTCCTCTTATATGTTTGGTTAACTAATATATCCATTAATGTATATTGTAATGTAAGTTTTAAGTCACAATTATATTAAATATTATTTTTTATATTACAGTTTACTTTTACATTACAATTTCCATTATATTAATTTATATAAGCTGTCCCCCTAAGTAAAAATGCAGAAAACAACAAAATGGTTCTGACAAAAAGCTACATCGCAGTTTATGCAAGCACTGTCTGTATATACTGATTCTTTGTTTGGCAGATTCTGGACAAATCAAAATATTTTTATCAGTACACTAAACAAAGAAATTGATATTAGGACTTTTAGTGCAATAATTTTAATTTTCACCATTTGCAAGTATTGCATTTTAACATGAGGCAGCAGTAATTGTAAAATATTATAATCTTATTATTATCTTATATCAGTTATTGTGAAATATTTGATCATTTCTCCTTCTATCTCAATGTTCTCTAAAATTTATTTTATCATATTTTAATAGTTTATGAAAAATTTGTATTTTTTTTGTACTCACATTTAGCTAAGACCCATCTCATGTTATCTGCTTTAACAGTTCCCAACATTGATAACATTCTGCTAAATATATCTTTTAAAAACGGAACAACACCAAACACTAAAGCAAAATTATTAGCTCTTATATCTACATATATATACATAAATATATATATATATATATATATATATATATATATATATATATATATATATATATATATATATATATATATATATATATATATATATAATTCTTTTTTATGGATTTAACTCTTCTTGTTAAAAATACAATAATTTTTACAATATTTCAAGGGAATATTGATATCCTTATTATCAAGTAAATTAAAAAACTGTAATAAAATATAAAACCGCTAGATTATACAAAACCGTTTAAATTTACAATTTTTTTTTAAGAGCTTTTTGTAAAGTGTTGTTTAAAAGAGTTTTTTGTGATGAATGTATTGGACTTGCAATTAAGTGATGAAGGGTTTTCAAAACGACATCATCACATAATAATGATTAAGATCATTTTTGCAAAAGGATCAACGATCAATAATCGGCTATTTTTAGGAAAATTTCGAAAAATTCAAGGAACCTGTTTTTGTAAAAAAATTACATTTGATCAGCAAGCATTGAAAAACTATTTCAAGCGCTATATATATATATATATACACACATATATACATATATATATATATATATATATATATATATATATATATATATATATATATATATATATATATATATATATATATATATATATATATATATATATATATATATATATATATATATATACACATATGTATATATATACACACATATGTATATATATATATATATTTTTTTTAATTATCTTCGCTTCCAACAAGGTTGCAAGCAACCAGTAATTAGTGTTGGAAGTTACTGGAAGAGAAAAGATGAAGATTGTAGAGCAAGATAACGATTGACATACGACTTAAAATATTGCAAATTATATGAATCAGGAAAACAGGATGAAGGAAGCGAATTCCAAAGAACTGATGTTCGAGGAAAAAAACTAGACGAATAAGAGTTTTTGGAGCACTTAGGAACAGTAACAGAAAAAGGATGAGACTTAATTGAATGACGAGTAACACGAGAATGAATTTTAGTAGATGGCACAAGAGGCGCTAGCTCTTTAGAGCAGTGCCCATTATAGTATTTGTAGAAAAGAGAAAGAGAAGCAACATTACGACGATGTGACAGAGGTTGAAGGTTGGCTGCAAAAGCAGGTCCAACTATGTTTACAATGCATTTTTGCACCTTGTCTAAAAGAGAAAGGGCACCATTAGAAGATCCGCCCCAGATATGGCAACAGTATTCCATACAAGGCCGGATTTGAGATTTATAGAGATAGAGAATAGAATCCAGAGTAAGAAAGTGACGAGCTTGATAAAGAGAAGCAACTTAAGCAGATGCTAACTTTGCAACGGATTTGATATAAGGTTTCCAAGAAAGATCAGAAGTAAGAGTTAATCCTAGAAGATGAAGGGTAGGAAACTCATCGAGTACATTACCGTTCATAAATATAGGAAGGTCTAAATTATTGCGATAACAATTGGCCAAAAATGTCACCTTAGATGTGAGAATATCTGGAAGATCGTTAATGTAAATTAAAAAGAGTATAGGGCCAAGGATTGAACCTTGGGGAACCCCTGAGGTTACAGAATAAAAAGAAGAGTGCTGTCCATCAAAGACAACTTTTATACTACGATTGGAAAGAAAGGATTCAATAATCTTAAAGATGTTTCCAGATACACCATAAGAAGAAAGCTTATGGAGGAGACCAGCATGCCAAACTTTATCAAACGCTTTAGAAATGTCAAGAGCAATGGCCTTAACCTCTCCACCTTTATCTAATGCGCGATAAAACCTATCGGTTATTACTGATAGCAAATCAGCCGTAGAACGAGAAGATCGAAATCCATACTGATGATCAGAAAGTAGGTTATGAGATTCGAGATGAGAGATTAAGTGTTTGTTAATTAAAGATTCAAAAACCTTGCTTATGATAGGAAGAAGACTAATGGGACGGTAGTTAGATGAGTCAGATCGCTCTCCAGAATTTTTAAAAATAGGGATAACAGATGCTGCTTTCCAGCATGCTGGAAAATAAGACTCTGATAAGCACTTGTTGAATAGTTTTGAAAAGATAGACGACAGCTCAGGAGAACACTTCTGCAAGACTATAACAGGTATGTTGTCCGGGCCGCAGGCTGTAGAAGAGTCTAAGCGGGAAATCACTTTAGATACAGAAGCTGGAGTGATACGAATGTTGAGCAATGGATCAACCTGTTTGACGGGTATATCAGGTAAAACGCAACTAGTGGCATCAAGAGATGATATTGATGAAAAGTTCTTGGCAAACAATTCAGCTTTGTCTTTAGGTGAGGTGACCATGTCTGAACCGTACAAAAGAGGTGGAATTACAAACTTGCCCTTATTATTGATACTATTAAAGATTCTCCAGAAGTCACGAGAGCCTAATTTTTGTGATGAAATACGAGAATTCATGATCTGAGAATATCGGGTTTTGGCGTTAGACAAAACCTTTTTACAATGGTTCCTAGCAGTAATAAAGAGACGTCTGTTTTCTGGAGAATTGTTTTGCTGATAGATATGGAAGTAATGGTTTCGATTGGTAATTGCAGCAGCACAATGTGAGGAAAACCATGGAGAAGAGTGAGGCTTGATCTGGAATCGTCGAGAGGGAATAAAGGATTCCATGCCAGCCTGAATCCACAAAGTTATGTAAAAAGCACATTTGTCAACAGGGAGACGAAAGATTTCTACCCAGGGGCCATCACGAAGAAAGTCACGAAAAGAGTCCCAGTCAGCTTTAAGGTAGTTGTAAAATGTACGATGATAGGGGGATTCTAATGGTAAAGAAGAATGAGATAATAGTTTTAGAGAGACCAAACCATGATCAGACGCACCTAAGGGTGAGTATGAAGAAACTGAACACTGACTAGGATCAGAAACAAGACATAAGTCGAGTAGAGAAGGTAAATGATTCGGGTTGTCTGGAAAGCGACTTGGATAGTTGACTATTTGAGTTAGGGATTGAGAAAGACAAAAGTTGTAGGCCTTAATGCCTGCAGAGTCACTGACACTAGAGCCAAGCCATTCAGTGTAATGAACATTAAAGTCACCGACAACAACAATATTGGCTGATGGATAAAGAATGAGGGCTTGGTCAATATAATCAGAAATAACATCAGGAAGAGTGCAGTCTTGGGATGAGGGAGAGCGATATAGAACAAAGAGAAAGGTGATAGAGTGAAGTGGTGCTAAACGAAAGCACATAAAAGAGTAGTCTGTGGATTCAAACCTAGTTTCCCGACAAATGGGTGAATTCTTACGATGTAAATGCCCAGGCCAAGCATGTGACTATTGGAGTCTTTACGAATTAAAGAAAGATAACCATCAACACTAAGATCACAAGATGAGACAGCTGAACTCAAATTAGTCTCACAAAGAGCAAGCAGGTCTGGTGAACTTTGCAAGAGATAAGACTCAACAGAAGAAAAGTTACTTCGAAGACCATGAATATTGGTGAATGATAGGTTTAGCGAACTTAGTGATGACTGTGGTTTTTTGTGTTTTATAGTTTTTGTTACTTTATTCATTTTTAAATTTGTTAAAGAACTTGACTCGAAACATTGATAGTACTCAGTACACTGTTCTATAGCTCAAGCAATTGCCTCATTTCCACTAATAAACCCTAAGCCGTAACAAAGGGCTCCAATGTGGCCTTGGCAATGCACACCAAAAGTACAAACAGGGACACCATCCATGCGCAACATGGCACTGTTAGTACTCTGATATTTTTCAGCTGTTGATGGAATCAGCCTCTCTGAGAGCTACCACAGAGTTCGGGAAACCTGACTACCAGCCGGCCTCAGAACCATAAAACTGAGTTTTAGAGCTGTACCCTCATTTGGAGATAATAGAATGAGTTGCCTAGTCATAAAAACAGAGACACAAGCAAAACCCATGTATCGAGTCAAGAAGATCCAGCGTTCAACATCCTAAACTGGAAACAATGTATTAAAAATACATCTGCGCCAGCCTAATAGATGATGAAGGGGTGCGAGGCTGGTCAACAGATAGAATCTGTTTACCCCTTAAGTCTTTGCCTAGGAGGCCTTCTACAAGACAGCAGGCGGATGCATGTATTATCTGCCCAAGATGAGTATTTTTATCAAGACACCATCTCTAGCCTTTACTCAACCAAGAGCCCCAAGGCAGGGGGTGTTTTATGTCGGAGTTTGCATCTCCTAGCCTTTGCCTAAAAAGGCATATCCTACAAGGCAGCAGGACATGAAGCAGATTGTACTGGGTTACATGTTACCAGTAGCAGGATAAACCTGACCTGACTGATAATGCAGCATTAGACATACACAGATGCAGCATTAGACATACACAGATGACATCATACAAATGCATGACATAAAAAAGATGACATCATACAAATGCATACAAAAGATGACAACATACAAAAGATGACATCATACAAATGCAGCATTAGACATACACAGATGACATCATACAAAAATAGCAAGTTGCGGGGGCTTGCCTGCTGCTGCAAAGGAGAGCTGCTACATTGACTGAGGGTTTGGCATTGGGCAGCAATCTTTTCTTTATTTTTCTTTGCTTTTTTTTCCTCCTTTTTTTAAAAGAAAACATACTTTTACATTAAGAGAATAAATATCATATTATGAAATTGCATCCTTAGATATGGATTGAGTATATATATATATAACTTAACTGTACAACTTGCTTTATATACTGCTGACTTGTAGGATACACTTTTTTGAGCAAAGGCTAGGAGATGCAAACTCTGACTTAACACACCCTTTGCCATGGGGCTCTTAGTTGAGTAAAGGCTAGAGATAATGTCTTGACAAAAATTCTCATTATGGTCAGACATTAAATGCATCTGACTACTGTCTCGTAGAAGGCCTCTTAAACAAAGGCTTAAGGAGTAAAGAGATTCTATCTGTTGACCAGCTTTGTACTCCTTCTTTATCTATTAGGCTGACGTAGATGTATTTATAATACATTGTTTCCAGTTTAGGATATTGAAAGGTGAATCTTCTTGACTCAATACATGGGTTTTGCTTGTGTCTCTGTTTTTATGACTCAATTTTATTAACTCTAAATGAGGGTACAGCTCTAAAATTCTGTTCTATGGTTCTGAGGTCTGCTGAAGGTCAGGTTTCCCAAACTCTGTGGTAGCTCTCAGAGAGGCTGATTCTATCAACAGCTGTAAAATATAATATATATATTCTTGGAGTCGGAATATCATGTGATCTTGCGTAATTTCGATAGCGTAAATGGTTACCATCTTAGTTAAGGTAAAACAAATGAACAGTTGAGTAAAGAAAGCAGTAGAAATCGAACATAAAGTAAGTTAAAGAGTTTTAAAAAAATGTCTATTTACAAATACTTTGAAAAATTAGATCGTTGCGCTGCTGAATGTTACAAAAATAAACTTGAAATTCTTGGAACTGATCAATATATAAATTCCCTGCAGATACTTGGAAAGATGACCCAACTGAATGGCCATATGTTTAATGTCAAGACGACAATATAATTTACCAATACAATATCAAATAACACTCAACAAAAAGAATACCTTGAAGAAATCACTAGGAATCAGTCATTGCCGATTTCTTGGCATGAGAAGAGATATGGTCGAATAACTGGCTCTGTTATTAATGATGTTTTGAAAGCATGTGTTCAAAATTCACCAAAATCTTTAGTTAGAAAACTTACAAAACAAAACTTTTGCTAAAACAATGCATCTTCATTATTATGGAGAAGAGAAAAAGGTGAATTTGCTTTGGCTGAGTATGTAAATGTCTGCTCTGATGACTTATAAATAAGTGAATCACTTTGTTTTTCAGTGATCACGATTCACAATGATTTGGAAGTAAAAAATTTTAGACTTATAGTTTCTCAAGAAAAGCCATGGTTGTGTGTGCTCCTGATGGTGTTGTACATTGTTCATGTTGTGGGTATGGAGTCATTGAGGTGAAATGTCCATACAGTCTTAAAGATATTGGATTAGCTTCATCAACAAACAATGACAATTTTAATGTAAAAAAATACAATAGCAGCTTTAAATTAGAAAGAACCCATCCATACTTTAGTCAGGTACAACTTCAATTATTCATATTGGAAGTGTGTTATTGTGATTTTATTTTCTAGACTCCAATTAATTTTTTATTTTTTTCAATTGAACAGGATCTTGATTTTATTAATGAGATGATTGTATAAAGTACAAAGTTTTGAAAGCATGTGATCGTACCAGAACTAATGACAAAGAAGTTAGAAATCACAGATAAAACTGATGAACGACATCACATAGAAATCACAGATAAAACTGATGAACGACATCACATAGAAATCACAGATAAAACTGATGAACAGCATCACATAGAAATTACAGATAAACTCTTCAACTAGATCAAGAGGAAAGTTTTGCATTTGCAAAACTATAAAGAGTGATGGTCATATGGTCGGTTGTGATTGTTGTGATCAATGGTTTCATCCAATTTGCCTTTAATTGAAAAAAATTACCAAATACAAAGGTCTGGTTTTGTCCGCCTTGTCGACAGAACAAATGACATTTTATTTTGTATTTACATTTTGATGTTGTCAATAAATGATGAAAAGATATTTATATAAATAATGATATGATAAAAGTTATTTAAAAAAGATTTATTTAAAATATTTAAAATATTATTATTACAATGTTATAAAATATAATCTAGTTATAGTTTCACATGTTGTTTGTTAAGTGGATCTTTATTTTAAGTTATATTTGATATACTTGGTAAAAATATATTTAATAGATTATATAATTTCCAGTTTTAGAGTAATTCCATGACCCAGGCAATATCTCCAAAAATACATATTTAGGGTAATTCAATTGACCCATGTCTCCATATATCTCAGTTTTTGCTGATTTTTATACAGATAAGAGTACTTAGTAAAATTAGAAATCCTTATAAATTTTAGATTCTAGCTCCGAAAAGATTGTGAAATATGATCATTTTACTTTTAACTTTAGATCCCCTTAGAATTGGGACGTTTTTTTAAAGGTTCCAAGTCACATAGCCTTGCAAATATTTAATCTTTCAACTTAAAAAAAAAATTAATTAAAAAAATATATTTTATTTTAAAATTTTAAAAAAAAGTTGGTAAAATGTGAAACTTGATATCTGGATTTTTTATTTGATTGTACGTCCAAAAGCACAACAATATTTGGGCATTTTAAATTGTTCTTCAAATTTAGCGAAAGACAAAATCTCAAATTAAATTCAACTAATATCACTTTATCGATTCAACCACTAATATCAATTAAATAATATATTAATGTTATTTAATAAAAAAAAGTGATTGTTATGAGAGTTTGTTTTCGCCCAACTATAATGGTAGCAGTTCGCAGCAAAAATGATGACGCGATTTCAACTCCAAGAATATATATATATATATATTTATATATATATATATATATATATATATATATATATATATATATATATATATATATATATATATATATATATATGTATATATATATACATATATATATATATATATATATATATATATATATATATATATATATATATATATATATATATATATATATATATATATATGTATATATATATATATATATATATATATATATATATATATATATATATATATATATATATGAAAATTTGTTAGGGAAATTTCCGCTGAAACTCTCTTTAAAATTTTTTAAAAAGAAGCTTATACAAAGAACATCGTTTTGTATTGTTAACAGATTTTTATAATATAGCATTGTTATCTTTTATAATGGTTTTTTTTAATATACTTAATAAAGAGGGTATCAATATTTCATCAAAATATCACAAAAATAAATATTAAATTGATATTAAATAATAATATTTTTAACAAATAAAGTTAAATCCATAAAAAGAAATTTTATTTTAAAATATCTATACAATTAAACTTTTTAGAAGATATCAACATTTAAAATTTATATATATGAATATGTATATATATATATATATATATATATATATATATACACACACACACACACACATATATATATATATATATATATATATATATATATATATATATATATATATATATATATATATATATATATATATATATATATTACATAATACAAATATAACAAACCATTTTCCTTAGCTAAATTTGCAAGAGTTAATATAACAAAGTAGTGTGGCAGCTGTCCTGGAGTAACTTTTTGAAGCATTTCAATCATTACTTCTTGACAAAAATTTACACCTAATGCCACTAAAACATTTGAAGCAGCCAACTGCCACTCAGGAATTATATCCTAAAACAAATAAAAACATTTGCTAGAATTAAAAACAAATTACATTTTAATTTATTTTCTGACCAAGTCAAGCTTTGGATTTTTAAGTGCTAGAACCAATTGTTCTTTTTTATTGTTTTTTAAAAGGTTTTATCATTTAAGCCAAACAAGGTTAAACAGTTTTTAAAATAAGATTGTACAGTCCTTTTAGAAATAATTCTATTATGAGCAGCATTGAAGTTAGGTTTTACTTTTTGGACTGTCTATTTTGTTTACATGAGAGTATAATTGACTTCTCTTCAATCTTTAATGTTCTGCAGGAATTCAGAGATCCAATACTTTTCCTATCTTAATTTGTGTAAGCACATTAAAACTGAATGTTTCACTCACTGTCAAAAGCTGTATTTTCAATAATTTTTAAATATATTTAGTGGAACGACCATCATTTGCTAAAGCAAAAACTTCTAGAATATTTTTCTAGTTAATAATTTCTTTGACATTTTATAATAATTTTTGACTTTTTATTATCTAAAAATAATCAAAAAGAATTTTTATAAACTGGAAATAAAAAATAATAACTTATCAAAACATCTACATAGGTTACTGCTACTTGTGTCATGCACAATATATAACTGAGTTAAATTCTCTATTAATTTAAAACAGTAGTAAAGTAACTTGAAACATTAAACAAACAAGAAAAAATTTATAATAATAAACTAAAAAAAAACACCAAATAATTTTTAATCCTTTACAAATAGTACAACTCACAGGTTGAATCACTTTTCACTTTTTTTTATTGAGCCATTTGTTAAACTAATTCAAGTTCAAATGTTTCATCCTCAGATCTCACTGTTTGATTCTTAAAGTTTCAATAGACACACACTTAAGCTGGGCGTTTACTTATGTATCCATTCATTTATTTGTCTTAAAATCTTGCTAACACATTATATGTCAAAGTGAAAAGTGTTGGTGCCAAAATTGTTACATAAAACAGTATTAAAAGAGTTTTAAAAGAGATTTAAAACAGTATTAAAAGAGACTAAAATGAAAACTTTAGCTAGAAGTTATTTTCTTTTCCACTTAAAAAGGGTGATTTGAATTTTTAAAAATTCTGAAGACCACTATGATTTCTTCAAGTATTTTAGTATTACTATTTTATAAACAAACTTTTAATAAATTGTAACTATATTTTATCTTGAGTCTAATTTAAATTTCATTTTTTTTATTTATATGAATTTATTATATTTGTTAATAATTTTATGTTATTTAAACTTTAAACACTCACAACAAGTTGTATGAACTGCTGAAAAACATTTAAATGTTTTTTTTAATTGTACAATATTTTTTTAATTGTACAATTAATATTTCAATCCTTAAAATCCAATTAATGTTAAACAAAATAACAAAACAAATAAGATAAGGTTCGCTGAGGTAAAAGATAATGCTCTTGACATATCCAAGGCTATCGATAAAGTTATACTAGTCTTCTCCACGTGCTTGCTTCTTATGGAAAATTTGAAAATTGTTGAACCATTTATTTCCAGTTACTTGTGAGGTACCATAAAGCTCTATACCATAAGGCTTCATCCTCGTTATCAAAAAAGCAATCACATTTTGATTGTTTTTTACATTTTTATAAAAAAGCTTTAATTCAACCATGAACCTCAAGGAAGGTGAGTATTTTAAGTAAAATATAACTTCTCTTAGCCTTAGTCTAAAAAAGCTAGCCCTTCAAGGCAGCTGGACATGTGGTGGGTTGTACCAGACTGCATATTAACAGAAGCAGGGCAATTATAATGATTTTGATTTAGAAATTAATCATTATTAACACACCAACATTTTTTGTCCTTAAATAAACCTTATTATAAATACAATTATTATGTAGTATTTTATTAATTATATAATATAATATCATAAAAAGATTTTTACAGACCTTTGATTTAGTTAACTCATTGGTTGCTAGCACTATCAATTCTTTAGCTAATTCTAACGAAACATTAACTCCTGCATCTTTAATCACTTTGGTCATGACATCTAGAATCAGAACTCTGTGTCCTTGAACAAGCTGGAAAAAAAAGTTAAAGTAGTTAATTTAAATAACAAGAACAATACTTTTTACTAACTTTTTTTTAGTATATATTTTTTTTATTTTAGTATATTTATACTTTTTTTTAAATATTTTTATAACTAAACTTTTAGTAATTAAGTAAGCATAGCAATTACTTATTAAATAACAAAAACTAAATTTAAAAAAAAAAGATTCAATATTTTAGTAATTTTTTGTTAAAATTTTGGAGCCCAAGTATAATATTAGTGGAATTAGAATTGAAAAATAACACCTAAATAGTTTTAAGAGATATTGTTTATTAAACTATATTAGGAAATACTAGCTTGTAAGTTTCCCATATTTGTAGCTAAAATTATTGTCTACCGAAAATCCCAGGAGATTAGATTAATTATGTATTACTTAATGTATGTATTATCATTACTTAACCTTAAGTCTACGTTTATCTTAGGTGTATGATGTCCCTAATACTTAATCAGTTGCACTCAAAAATTATTTCAGAAAATTTAAAACAAAAGTTTAGAAACAGAATATGTTAAAATATCTTTAAAGGCATTTATAATACTTATTTTTATATAATTAATTAGTTACTTAAAATTAGCTTTGGATTTTTGACCTAAGAAAAAGTAAAGGTATACAATTAAACTTTTCTCAGGATTATGGATGACAGCCTCCAATTCAGCATCAAAAATTGAGAATTTACAAGTCTGAAATAAATTTGTAAAAACTGAATAATATTAAATCCCTAGAATACTATTTTGGAATTCATTAAGAAAACATCTATTATAGTTCTAAAACATCTATTACGGTTTTAAAACATCTATTACGGTTCTAAACCCTTAAGAAAACATCTATTACAGTTCTAAACCCTTAAGAAAACATCTATTATGGTTCTAAAACATCTATTACGGTTCTATAACATCTATTACAGTTCTAAACCCTTAAGAAAACATCTATTACGGTTCTAAACCCTTAAGAAAACATCTATTATGGTTCTAAAACATCTATTACGGTTCTAAACCCTTAGAAAATCCTCCCAAACTATTATCAAGATATTTTACATGAAAGTTATTTTGTTGTCTCTAATTTATCACTAAAATGCTGAATCAGCATTATTTCAAATGACGAAATCTCAAGAACCACTTTGTATTTTTTAATTAAAATTTTGGCAATTATGATTTAACCATAAATTTTATTTCTATACTTTAAAATGTAGCTAATACAAGCAATAACATCTGACTCTAATTTTGATCAAAGATACAATTGCTAATACAAGATTCTCTGTTGATGTTCTGAGCATTAATACATTTTTTTTTTTTATATATTTTTTATTTTAATGAATTTTTTTTTAACCATCATTCTGGCATACTTATTAGGATACATCATAAAAATTAACAAAAATTTAAAAATATCTTCTAAATTTTAAATTATCAAATTTTTAATAAGTCCATTCTTATTTTGTTGAAAAATTATACTATTGTAGAAAATATGAGTATTTAAAAATTATTAGAAAAAAATATTTAAAAAAATATAGAGAAAACATAATTTTTATAAACAAGGATTATTGGTTTATTTTTGCTAAAAGTATTATTTTACTGTAAACAATATAAATAAATGCATACAACTAGACAAATGTTTTTTTTTATATATGTATGTTAGTTATTCAGTTGTTAGGATAACTTCAGGTTTTTTTTGCTGTTGATTTGGTTACATTTTGATTGGTTTGCACAATTCAAAATAGATACCTATTACTAACTAAAATTTATTCTTTATTATTATTTAGCTTATCAAAGACATTAAGTTTCCTTAATTTTATTATTATACATATTTATTTAATTTTATTTGTATTTTCTTGGATTTAATCCAGTTGTACTTAAGTGATTATGTTTTAGTTTTTGTTTTAAAAACTTTTTGTTGAAAATTTAATTATTTTTGGAACCTGAAAGAGAGGGAAATAATAAACAAAAGAAAAAAATTGTAAAAGTAATATTAAAAAATTCATAAATTACATTTTTACAAATTGCTTATTTATTTTTTTTTCTTTTTATGCAAAATATTATTAAATGTTTGTTTTGCGCCTTTATTTATTACTATTATTACACACATAATAATTACATTTATTCTATTTATTTTTATTACAATACTTACATTTATACTTTTATTTTACTTTGATAACTTTATACATAAAAAAAGATCTATTATATTATTTTAATATATAAAATATAGATTAAAAAAGTTATACTTTTTGATGCTTATTCAAATAATGGACGCAGGTACTTAAGACTAGCTCTGCTTGTTGCTTTCCCAATGTATGCAGAGCAGATATCATGTCATCTCGGACTTCAACTTTTTTATCAAAAGCTGCATCAACAATTGCAAACACCAAATCTATAATTATATATATATATATATATATATATATATATATATATATATATATATATATATATATATATATATATATATATATATATATATATATATATATATATAGTATAATATTTCATAGTAAAATATTTCAGCTTTCAAAAATTTTGACCATATAAAGTTTAAACCCCCTCAATTTGAGGGGGTTGCAAATTTTATATTGTTATAATTTTTGAACGCTGAAATATTTTAATATGAAATTTAAAATTTATCAATAATATAAGTCTAGTTAAAAATAGTACAAAAAATATTTCATCAACTTGTTGCTCTCACGTTTACGGCAGGGAAAGCACAAGTTTTGGGGCTTTTTTGTTCCCAAGATCCTATCATTGAAATTTTTTGCAGAGCATTCTTATTTGACATAAAATGTGGGTCATTCTCCTGAAAGTAACATTTTCAATAAATATTTTTATAAAATTTAAATATTAAAATTTCCGAACTAAATTTTTTGCTGTTATAGCTTTAAGTATATTTAATCATTTGTAAGTATCCGCACACCTCATTAAAAGTCAGTTTACAAAAAAAAAATTAAAAACTTTTAGCATATTCCACAGACGTGACATATTTACCACAGACGTGACATTATGAAAAGTATTGGTTTATGCTGTAACAGCTATAAGTGTCTGTCAATGATAATAACAATCTTTAATCAGCAGTTTTTAATAGTTGACATAAAATAGTACATGGTACAAGTTTTTACAAAATTTTAAGTATTACTAGTGAGTAAATTAGCAAATGTTTTTGAATGGTAAGTCTTGTGGAAAACAATATTGCCCCCTGTTATTGAGGTTTGGCTGGCACAATCTCAACACTACATCACTCTTATCAATGACAGAGATCTCATCTTTTTCTGGAAACGTAAAAAATTCCTGGCCAGATCTTCTCAAAAACTTTATGACAAACTCATCTGCACCTAAAGCTTGAATTAGCCCAACATAGTATTTCACTTTTTTTTTGATGTTTGAAACTTGACAATTACAAAATCATTGATTTTAATATACAAGCTGTTCTCCTCATTATCGCTGTAAACACACAACATTTACCCAGTCCTTGGGATTCTTGAGCCAAATATTTGGATGTTGTTTCTTCAGCTAGGATTTTTTTCATTTTCAAGAATTGTTCACATGCCAAACCATATTAAGGAATTTCTTAAAACAGAGGCACAAAAAATTGTTAATGAAACAGAAACAAGTTAAACAACTATTTTACAATAAAGATTTCATGAACAGCTTATTTTAGTCTTTAATGAAAATACTAGAGTAACTGAAAAACTAAATATTAATCAAACATTTTTACTGACTAAATAACTAAAGAACATTTAAGAAATGCAAAAGTTTGCAATATTAATATAAGCAAATATAATATTCAATATTATGTTCAATATAACACAATATTCAATATAAGTAAACTTAAGTTTCTAAAAGCTATACATTAAAAGGATACGAGGATGAAGATACGTAAAAAAATTCACATGGATTAGTACTTCTCCAATACTATAGTGTTTGTCACATAGTGCATGTCAGCCTTCTCATATACAATGTTTCTTTTTTAGTGGAACTTCAAACCACCTCATGAACTTGTAAAGTCCCCTTGAAAGTTGTTAGGTTTTCTGGTACACATTTCTCATAGAGATTGAAATCTGTGTTGTTAATAGTATAGATGGTTATACTTGGACACTTTTTTTTTATTTCTTCAACCAAATAATATCAGGAATATCTTTCCTTTGTCCAATTAATCTGTCTGCGGTTCTTTTGATACAACCTCCTATTCCATCAGGGGCACCTTTTCCGTGCCCCTTTTCTGTGAAATGCCACCTTATATTTTTAGCTCTAAACTCTTTTTGAAAAAAAGTACCAACCAAATAGAACATGGACTTATTTCAGTACTGTTGAGAAGTACTATCACTAAGGAAATGAACTGTTTCAATGATAGGCAGCTTCTCTTTTAAGTCATTAATAACAGGCTTTAAATGCGCACAGATTCCAACAAAGTCATGACGCCTGTTATCTAAAATTGTACAGTAAGATTTTGCCTTTATTTTGTTTTCAGAAATACTACAATAGTATGCCATAACTGTATGGGTTGTTACTTGGTTCTTGATCCGCCAAAGTGGAGTGATTGGATTTCTTTTGAGTATTTGCAATTGTAATTTTTTGAAAAGTCACAATGATTGAAAATATCCCTAGGCCCTAAGTTATTTTTTATTTCTGATGTAGCTTTGTACTGGTGTTTTATATTGCATATATGTTTCATAAACTTTTCCAGTAAGTTGTTAATAAAATGCAAAAACAGCTCTTTTTTAGTTAATGTTAACTCTTCTTTTACAGTTTTAAAACATGTCTTTATTTTATCTTTTATCACAAGTTCAACACTTTTACTTTTTCATTCATATCATTCTCAAATTCTTTACAAATTATTTTTTTGTTTAAAATTTCCTGGAAAGGAAATACTCCGCATTTCCTTTCCAGGCATGATTCTCTCAGCTTTTAATTTTTAACTTTTTTTTTTTTAATTTTAAGTTGATTAAGGTGCCCCAAGAAGTCCTTATGGTCTTATCACAGAGCACCGCGGAAAAGCATTTAATAGGAAGTTCACGCCTCCTTCCCAACCGATGTCGTAAAACTTGCCCAGAGGTGGGGTTCGAACCACTGATCTTACGTTTCTAAGGCAAGTGCGCTACAACTGCGCCACGGCTTGCCGTCACATGTTATACTTTTTAGCAAGTCAGTAGGATATTTATATACCAACATCTATACAACTTACAAGAATCAAAGAAAAATTCTCATGGTCAATACATAGACAAGTATCTCGTTTACGAAAGTCTGGTTGAACAACCCAAAAGGGTCTTAATTTGCAAAATGTGCTATAAGACATTTATTTGAACTCAGTTGTTTGTTTGAACTCATTCCACAAATTCAACATTGTATCATTTAATAGTCTTTTTTGTTTTTTCACTTTGTTTCTTGTTATTGTTTCTTTTTTTCTAGCAGTAAGCCTACTGGAATTAACTTTTTCTAAAAAATTCCTAACTTCCATTTCAAGTTGTTGCTTTTTCAGTACATTTGAGGGCTGATTTAAGTTGTATGGTAAGATATATCTTGAAGTCAGATTGTTGAGGCTTCTTTGAAGTCTGTACTTCTTTATTATCTTTCCGTTTAATACCCTGGCAAAATCTTTTTTTTTGGCTATACAACTCTCAGTAAAAAAATTTGATTGTATTTGTGTCTTTAACACTTTGCTAAAAAGCAAGCTTTTCTTTACTTCCTTTGAACATTTCATACCACTGGTCATTTTTTTAACCACCTTTTGAGGAGTATTATTTTTTGCATATCGAAGTCTGTAAAATTTTTGTTTGTATTTATCACCTCTTTGCTTTAACAAATTGTTTTTTTCTTCTAATTTTTTGATTTTTTTCTTCAACCCATCTCTATATTTTCTACGAACTTTTAGCCCGCATCTTTTTCTGGAATTAGATTCCTGACTGGGACCAGGAAGTAAATTTATGCCTATTTCATTTTCAATAGGAATATTTACAGTTGGGCTTTCAGGTGGTGTAGACAAACTTTCAATAAGTTGCTGTCTCTTCTTTTTCATTTCCCGACTTCTCTTGGTCCTTTCTTTCCGACCTTTTCTTACTAAACTTTTATCCCTTTCTGAAAGTTCATGAATTTTCCTTCGTGTTGCTTTTTTTCTTTCTCTATCTTTCCATTTTTGTTCTTCATATTTGTCCGTGTTTTCAGCTTTCATCTTCTTCCTCGCTTCCTGCATACTTAACTTTTTCAATTCTCTAGTTTTTTCTATCTTTCCCATTTTTGTTAACTGTAAGTAAAGAAAAAATTATAACTATCTGGATAAAAATATTTTTTCAATAATACATCAACATCTTTTCAATAATAATTAATTAGCTATATGAGCAAAGTTTTTAAATGTTAAAAATGCTTAAAATAGGCATTAAAAAATTCAGGTGCAGATAAAATTGTCATTTGTTGTCACATCTGTTCCATATGTGTCACGTCTGTTGCTTTCTGTACTCCACAGACGTGAAAACCTCAGACGTGACAAATTGAAGGAAAAACCATAAAAGGAGTGCTATGTTTTGAGGCTAGGACTCTGTTCCCCTTGAGTAAATATGCCTAGGTAATTGCTATTAAACAAAAGTATTGCTTATAAAAAAGTAAAATTATTTACCCTGGGTATGTTTGCCACAGATGTGACACACTAAGACTAACAAATTCAACTTTTAAAACTTCAACATTTTATTAACAAATTCAACTTTTAAAACTTTAACACTTATCAGTACTAAGCAACTACACCAAAAATTCTCCCACTATTACTCATTAATAAAAATGTCTGGTAGTTTAGCTAGAACAGCAAAATAGAGAACTAATGCTACCTCCTGCAGCTTTTTTTTGGAATTGATAACTCTATCCACAGACGTGACATTTAAGGTGGTGACAAGTGCTTCAATTACATAAAAGTTACTTTAAAAATATGTTTTGAGGAAAATAGTATGTCAACTCTAATTTTGATGTATTCTTGATTATTTATTATATATTAAAATAAAAGTAAAGTACTAGCAACAAGGTTTGAACTTCATGGGATTAGCAAAAAGTCTGGGTGGTGACATTCCATCGAGGTGACTTGTCACAGTCTATGGTACATTATTTATTCACTGAAAATGTTATTTTAAATTGGTTTTCATCAGTTTAACATTGTATTAGCTATATATTTGTTTTTTGCACTGGTTTAAAGTATAAATACTATTAACTTGAAAAAAAAAACTTAGTGGGGACAGTATATTGCTACTTTTTTGGAGAATGATTCATATATATATATATATATATATATATATATATATATATATATATATATATATATATATATATATATATATATATATATATATATATATATATATATATATATATATATATATAAACATATAAACATATAAATTTATATATATATACATATATATATATATATATATATATATATATATATATATATATATATATATATATATATATATATATATATATATATTTATATGTTTAAAACATATCAATATACATATCGATGTCATAGTGCACAGATATGGTAAGTACAAATTTTAGTCAAATTGAGATAAGTATGCAGAAAAAAGTGTTTTTTTTTTAATAGTTTATTGTGCTTTATGCACAATAATTGGTATGTGTATGATAAATGATAAAGAGTCTACTAATTGACAATATGTGGTAAATACAAAAACTCTTCTTCTTATAATTACGCGCAGAAATGACAGTTTTTACAGTTTTTAATCTTGCACTTACCACATCTGTGCACTATGCCATTGATATATATATATATATATATAATATATATATATATATATATATATATATATATATATATATATATATATATATATATATATATATATATATATATATATATATATATATATATATGTATGTATATATATATATATATATATATATATATATATATATATATATATATATATATATATATATATATATATATATATATATATATATATATATATATATATATATATATATATATGTATATATATATATATATATATATATATATATATATAAATATATATATATATATATATATATATATATATATATAGTAAGATTTAAAAAAATAATAATAATCGCGTCATTTATTTAAAAAAAAAAAGGTAATAATGAAAAAAGAAATCCAACTTAATACCAAAATGAAAACAAAATCCTGATTTTTCTAAAATAAAAATCAATATTCTAAACTTACTATCCACTTGTCCTCCTGTTTTTTTAATTGTTCGCTCCATAATCCTTATTTAAATATTTTCATATCAAAATGTTTAATGCTAAAATTAAAGATATATTGAAATAATAAAATGGAATATATATTGAAACTTTATTGAGTATAAAGTTTCAAAAATAAAAGAATCACTATAGATACCATTATGTTATATATCACTATTATTGTGTTTAATACCAGTATTCTTATTGAATAGTCAGTATTATCGTGTTTGATACAATATTGTTATTGTAAACAATTGAAAATTAATACTTACTATCATATACCAATAAAGATAATACATGCATTATTTGGTATTTTATAATAAGTTGAGATATTTTTGGTGCAGTTGAACATTCAATAAACATAATTACTTTTTTTACAATGAACAGCTTTATAATTACGATTATGATATGGTTTTATTAATATTATGATATGGCTAGCTGTCTGTAAAAAACAATATTCAAGTGAAGGACATTGATACAATTTGTACTATTTTAACTATTAAAACTATTTATCAACAGATAATGGATATCTTCCAAGAAATTTGATAAAAAGCAGTAAAGTATACAAATAATATACAATACTTTACGAGAAATGCAAAAAAATCTATCCATTGCAATGCTAACAAAAAGTACAAAACACATACAAATCAATTTAGATTACTTGACAAGAAAAAAATAAAGAATCATAAAAGAGTTTGAAACATAAAAGAAAAAGGATGTTTTTCAAGTGAATTAAACCATCTTTATAAGTGATTTTAAATAGCATTAAACTGATAGTAATGACGATTCAATCAACAAATGGTATTGATACAAAATTGATATATCGTTTATCGTATTGTTTTACAGTACGATAAATGTTATATTAATTTTGTAAAATCTTCATAAATTTATTTAAAAAAAACAAATAAGTTCAAAACATCACAAAATCACAGCATAATTGATTTGGTTATTAATTATTTGTTAGGTAATTATAAATCAAATTATAATTGGTTGGAAATTCGGCTTTGAAACATACTACGTTTGTACTCACGCAAAATATTACTGAAGTTTGACGGCAAATTATGGTGATTTAAAAGAAAATTAAGGAGAACGCGAACAAAATTTCCGTCCATTCCGCCTATTGTCAACGATGACTATTTATTTTTGGAAAGAAGGACTTGACCTTTTAAATTGTAATTATTATTTTTTTAACAAAGTTTAACCACTAACCTTTTGAGTAGTTAGAAAAACAATATTTTTGAAAATTTTCTGCTCCTGGCGACTCTTTGTGTACGACTAATGTTTTTTATATAACAAAATACATTTTTATTTTATTTTTAATGGTTATTATTTTGACGTAATATTGTTCAACTTTTATATAAAATCGCTTCAACTGAGACCTAACACGACTAGGGTTGCCAGACGTCCGGCAAAAAGAGAACATTTCCTTTTTTTTCATCCTTTGTCCTCTGTCTGGCAGGCGAAGCTGAAAAGTTAAAAAATATCCGGCTTTTTTAATAATATAAGTTTTTTTTTTTTATACGCTTTTTGTTTTTTTGCCCCGGTCACATGACCAGATGACAAATTTATAATATTTTTATTTTAATTTTATTTCAAATTGTTATATTTGCAAACTGAAAATTCATGCCGACAATGAATCATTTTAATAACATAAACATACTTAGAAAGTATTATTGCTTCGCGAATGATAATTTTGCAATAACTCAGGGCTTTCAAAACTTTCGCCATTTCTCCCCGCTTTCCCCAATATTTCCTCATTTAAACTTAACTATTCTTGAAACTTTTAAAAGTTTTTTTACGTTCTTTTCTTTAATTAAAACTTCAGGTTCCATTTTTAACTCTGCGCGTTTCGCTTTTCCATTTGTTGTTCGATAAAACGGTAAAGGAACTCAAAAACAGTATAGAAGTTTTCTTTTTTAATTAAAACGTTTTTAACTCTTGCACCTTGAGTAACAATTGAATTTCAATTTTTTTATAAAAATGTTTTAAGCGTCATTATATAAGTTGACCTTAAAACTCAAAGGTATTGCAAAAAGCCCACGCAGCTAAAGCAACTTTAGCATTTCATGCATTTTGTTATTATCAGTCTTACAACTCGATGGTTTGCACAGCTGGTTTAATCCACAAATTATTTGAAGATTAGGGAATCGTTGAAAATATCGCATGTTCAAAAACACAAACTGAGACAATCATAAACCGGGTAATAGGCTACACACTGTTGATCAACTGGTGAAACCATTAGATTGCATTTCATGTTTCGATTTTTCCACAGATGCTAGCAATCACGTTCCGCAGAAAAAAATTCATATTGTTGTTTAATACTTTCACTGAAATGCAGATGATATCCAAACTAAAGTTCTTACGTTAGATAATACACCAAAAGAAACCTCTGAAACTCTTCAAACATATGAATTGTTGTGTAATTGTGTTGTTTTTGCTGGAGACAATGGTAATGTAAATTTTGGAGGCATTAATAGAAAAGTAAGCAAAAATGTGTTCTCGTATTTGAAGGAAGATTTTTAAAACTTCCTTCAAATACGAGAACACATTTTTGTTGTCTTAAAAATATTCAATTATTTTTTTATGTACACAGTTAGAGCAGAAGTAAATAAATATAAAATTGCTAACGAAAGCCTTCTGCGTAAAGTTGGCTCTTCCGAGAAATATAATGTTAGTTAATTATTATAAATAATTTAATATATTATAACACTGTATACCTGAACGTTGCATTATTTTTTTTAATTGAAAAAAATTAATTGCAATTGTAATTTGGAGAAAATTACCTGAGTCTGCAACATATTAGTTATATAGATCGTTGCCCGAAAAAAAAACACGTTGAAGATAATTTAAAAACTCGTTTGAATGTTTATTGTTATTGCGACAATTTTGATATTTTCCATTTTATTATTATTAAATAATAACTTATAATATGGGAAATTTACCCAGTGTCTTTGTTGTGCTGTAACATATATTGCTCTTATATAACATTAATGGATATTATACTTTGTTGTTTATTCTTATCCGGTGTCAGTACTGTGGCTAGAGGGCCGAAGTTTTGCCCCTTCTCCCCTATTATAAAAAAGCCAATAGGGCCCCACAATCTCAAAAACCTTCCGTTAGGTATTACTAAAATTAGTTATGTCCTTCTTTGTCCTCCTTTTGGCTTTTATATGTCCTCCTTTAGGCGACCGTGCATCTGACAACCCTAAAAATGACATACTTTAGAGAAACTTTTTTTATATAATACTAAGAACTCGTTTTTTGTTGTTGCTGTTTTGTTTTTATTATTAGTGATATAGTTGCTCCAAAAATAACGGTAACAGTCCTCATAACAGAGTACCATAGAATAGCATTTGACTCTGTAGCTCACGTCTACTTTCTTATCAATGTTTAATGTTAGAGTGTCTGTAGCAACCCCTAAAAATAGTTTTTATTAAAAAAAAATAATAATCCAGACATATTTATCACATATAACACATTAAGGTTTTTAGACCATTTTATTACTACCATATTTTTTTTTTACTTGAAGCAGGTGTCTCATCTGCTTCAAGTAAAAAAAGCAAAGATATTATTTACTTCTATAAATGCTTGTCTTAAAGGTAATGATGCAAGATGCAAATCAGATTAATTAAATAAACATTAAAAACTTACTTTCTATTTAACCTGTTTTTAAGTTTTAATATTGATAATAGTATGTTATTTATAATTAATATATATTATACTTTTGTTGTTCTGTTTTTTTCTTGAACACCTAAATCTTGAAATTGTCAGTGATAGGCTGTTCATTTGGGCTAACATTTGTGAGCGTGTTTCTCTAGATACTATGTTCGGCTAGTGTTAGTATTTAGGTGAAAGTATTATGTTAGCACAAAGTAGAGTAGAGTATTATGTTAGCACAAGTAGCTCTAAGGTTGGCATGCAAGTGGTTGGTCATTGCACTGTGCATGTTTCACTTGGGTAGCGTTGCATAGTGGGTCTAACTTAGCACTTCATACTAAAATTATATTGCTTATCTCTTTAAAAATTCACAAGACGTGCATTTTTGCGAGACCAATTTAAATTTTATATTTTCATCTTCAAATCTATTTGTTGATGGCTATTATCTTTTAATTCGCATTGACTCGTGCTTAGTCTGGATTGCATCCATGACCCGGCATTAAACTTGTGTATAAGTTTACCTAGTTATTGCGAAATCAGGCTTTAATATTACCAGAGCTCTAATAGCAACACTTGTTTCACACAGCACAGCAGCTAACACTTTTATTGTTTCACACAGCACTGCTTCTAATACTACTTTCAATTTTTTTTTGTTTTGCTAACACTGATTGACGAAATCAGAATTTCTTAGAGCTACCATAAAGTTGTTAAAACATTATTACTAGTTGATTTTATTAGGAGATAACAAAGAGTTTCATTTCAGCAAAAATTTATGAGTAGAAACAATGTAACACATATTTGCATTTACTCCAGTCTAATATATGAAGGAGCTTGCAAAGCTGGTCATCAGAAACTTTTCTGCTTGCCACCACAGTATTTGTCAAAGAGTTCTTCTGCAAGACCATAACCGGATGCAGTTAATATCAAGGTGAATATTTTTATCGAAATTTTCTCTTGCAATAACTCAACTAAGAGCTCTAAGGTATAGGTTTATTAGAACAGAGTTTATTTCTTTTAAACTTTGTCTAAAAAAAAAATCAAGGCAGCATGTACTAAATAATACTATTCCGGCTGGTTGTACTAATTTGCATGTCACCAGTATTAGAATGATTATGATAATTCTCAACTTTGAGCAACTTGAAAAAAAAAAATTAAAACTAAATAGATTTAACATCTTTAGAAAAACTAAATAAGCTTAAAGAATTTTAAATAGATTTAACTTGTCATCTTTAGAAGAACTAAATAAGCTCAAAGAACTTTAACATTATTAAATAAAAAAACAACTAAAATAGAATTGAAAATACAAGTAAAATTTCTAAAATTTTACTAGTGACTGGAACTTCATTCATTTGTCTTGGCTTGTCGCGTAGTGTATCCTTCAATAAGTATGGATATTCACTTCATTAAATAAGTTCATTGTTTTTATAGAAAATTTTGTCTACACATCTTAAATATTTTTTAATTCTAATTACTTTTTCATTCAGCAAAGATATAAGTAAAAGCAGGACCGCATTTGTGACGTTGTTAAATTGACGGCGCCCTTAGGAATATGAATAATCGTTGCCCAAATGTTCGTAATAAAACTTAAAAAAAGATCTACACTAAAAACTAAAACCGCCCCTTTTTGGTTGGCACCCTATAGTTGCCTAGATTTGCCTAATGGCAAATGCGCCTCTAAGTATAAGTATAGGTTTAACTTAGTTATAAAATTATTATTATTAAAAGGTTTCCGTTCATCATGCATACCATGGTTACAGTCATTTTTAACAGCTTTCTTCAAGGACTAATAATTTGAAATATCAAGAGTCACGAAAGAGAATTATAAGTCATTAAAAAACATTCAAAATATTCTGTCATTTTATTATTTGGGTTTTATTTGTTGAACATAATGAAATTGATGTCAATATAATTTAGTACAAAACCACGTAAATGTTACAAATTGATTTAAAAAAAAATCAAATTTACATAAAAGCAAATTTATCAAAAAGTTAACAGTCTCAAAAGTTACTTCAAATATCAAAAAAAGCCGCTGGCTCGTATCTTATAAAATAGTCCAATAGTGGCTTTTTTAAGGTTTAGAATAATAGGTTTTCAAATATTTTTTTCTCATTTTATTTAAACGGAAAAAAAAAGTCTAAACTAAAAATTTATATTCTGTAATTTTAAGTAAATTGTGTTAACCCATTTGACCAAATGATTTTGTAAACACTTCATATCGCTCTAACTCCTCGCAAGAAATTGTCCGTTGATTTAGTTTTAAGGATTTTCTTATATCTTGATAAGTAACTGATCTTGGCTGAACCTTTTCTTTTGGTATGTTTTTTAAATGTAAGCTTACAGCACCAGGTTCATTTTCCTCTGCCGGTCTTAAAAATGTTTTGTCGTCGCTCCATTTCCACAATACTGTTTCTTGCAGATCACGAATCGGTTCTAGAAGAGCATCTGATATGCATGTTGCTAAATCACTACCAGAATATCCTTCTGTAAGATCAAGCAACCGTTGCCATTCATCGGCCTTAAGATTAACACAGGAATCCCCCAAGTGTATTTTGAAAAGTTGTCTTCGAGATTCAATATCTGGTAGAGCAATAAAAATACGCTTCTCAAAACGTCGAAGAAATGCCGTATCTAATTCCCAAGGACAATTAGTTGCACATAGAAAGAATATATCAGCCTCGCTCACTTTATTAGCTCCTTCAATTTGTTTTAAAAGTTCAGTTTTAACTCGTCTAGTAGTTTCAGCTTCTTTGGAATCTCTTTTTCGACATAAACTATCAATTTCATCAATAAAAATAACAGAGCGTGTGCTTCGTGTTCGCGCGTGCGTAAAAAGTTCTTTAATCAGCTTTTCGCTCTCACCAAACCAACTTGACAAAAGATCTGAGCTTGTTACTGAATAAAATGTACACTCTATCTCAGATGAAACCGCCTGAGCCATGCGTGACTTTCCTGTCCCTAAATTTATAATATAATTATATATATAATCTATATTTGTTTTCATTATCCACTCGAATAATATTATTGAAAGATATTTTATTGATATTAATGGTAACATTGAAACGGGGAATTCGTAATTATAAATTAAGATATAACCTTAAGAGATAACTGTTTTTTATATAACTTTATGAGATAACTGTTTTTAAAACTTAATAAATGTGGTCTTCGAAAAAATTGATAAATTCAATTTCCGAAAAACGGCTCTTTAAAACACTTAGAGTTTAAAAGTTAAATTACCAATCATTACAAATAGAAAAATTGTTAGACACACTTCTATTAAAATTTTAAAAATAAAACATAAAAAATACAAATAAATTTTAATACTTTTTCCCACACCCCATATAAAATCCGCTGCAATCCTAGAAATATAGAATTAGCGGCAAATAAGAAACGTCTATAAATGAGCTCTGAGAGTATCCATAACTCTTTATATTTAGCATACATTGGTTAACCACTATTTCAATCTTCTACAGTTTTCCAGTAAACCTTTTAAGGCTTCATGAAAAACGCAAAAAAAAATTAGCTTCTAAATGAATTTTCATATGATTAGAAATTTTTTTACATAAAAAAAAAATTTTCGTAGACTAATTTTTTAGTATTGTGAGAGTTAATGTATTTACGTTAATGATAAGTTAATTTTTCGCTCTGTTTATGTTCATAAATTTTGGTAAGTTTAATTTGTAACTTTCGTCCTAAAGTCTCCGTTATTTCACATAAGTTTATGAAATTAGAGATGATAGTTATCAATTGTAATTTCAATTATAAAGGCTTTTGAACAAGACAAAACTTATAAAAATTATTAGTCTTATAAAATAAGTTCCGTCACTTGTTTTTAGGGCCGGTTACATGGGTATCAAAGTGGAGGGGCACAATCGTCAATTTCTTAAAAAAGTCCTCTATATTTAGAAAATTTTTTTGTAAAAAAAAGGTCCTTTTGAAAAAAAGTAGAAGAAAGGAGAGGGCTAATTATATACCGGAGATAAACACATTTTATTTTAAACGTGTTTAATGTTTTTAATGTTATAAACTGCAATAAAACAACGTAGTGAAGTTGTGTTTTATTGACACAAACTCTTTATATTGACAAAATAACCTTGCCGTATTGTTTTTTTCAGCGTATTACAATAAAAATTTAATACGCTTTTGAAAACGTGTTTTATCGTCAGTATGAACGGGGTATTAGTTACTTTTTTATTAACATTAAGCGTTCGATTTTACAATGGTTTTATAGAGTTCATAAATGCTCTTTAGTTATTTACTGTTTAAACGGAAGTTTTCAATACCGGTATTTAGCTACGCTCATAAAAACTGTAACATACCCGAATTTAAAAATTTTAAACATTCAAAAATTCAGATGGTAATCTTTGTGTTTTTGTAAAGCATTTAAAAATAAACCACAAATCAGCGTAATTTTTTGCAAAACATCCGCATTTGACATCTTTTATCTATTGAACTTTTCAATTACATTTTTTATAAAACTTTACGCCGATTATGCGAGACTGAAAACTTGTTATTGATTAAAAACATATTATTAATAACAATAACAAAATAATAATTTTATTAATAATAAACAAGAGTTTTATAGTGGAACATGTTGTACCTTTGAGGGAGATTTAAATAGTTGTAATCAATTGTAACCAATTGTCAGTTATAATGATGATAAATTATTATTTTCACTTCAGTTATAATAATGATAAATTATTATTTTCACTTTAGTTATAATAATGATAAATTATTATTTTCACTTTAGTTATAATAATAATAAATTATTATTTTCACATCAGTTATCATAATTTTAAATTATTAAAACTGAAGAGAAAGTAGAAGTAGACTTTATATGTTCATTATAAAAAATTTGGTGACAAATGAAATTTTTAATAGCCACACAAGTGACAAATGAAATTTTTAATTGCCACAGACAAGTGACTAATGAAATTAATAAACGTACTTATGGTACCAATTTTCACAACAATTTATTAAAAACATCAATTTTTAAGAATAGGTGTTTAAACATAGCTACCTTCTTTAAGAGCATTATAAATTGATTTTTCAAAACCAAAGGTATAGACTAGAAATCATAAGTAGAACGCGACCTTCTACATATGATTTCTAGTCTATACCTTTGGTTTTGCTAAATTTTATACTTGATAACCAGTTTTGATAATCAAGTTAGTTAAACAGCTATGCAAATAAAATAATCAAAGTCTAGAGCTGAACCTGATTTCTGTACAAGGAAGTATGAGCTACAAGGAAGTATGAGCTACAAGAAAGTATGAGCTACAAGGAAGTATGAGCTACAAGGAAGTATGAGCTACAAGGAAGTATGATCTACAAGGAAGTATGAGCTAAAAAATAATTAACCAGTTTTGTTAATAAGTTAATTTTAAAATACCTACGATCAGGATGAATTTTTTTTTTGCCAGGATATTTGCGAGAAGGATAAGTCTATCGCTGTAAACTTTTTACTTCAAGAAAAAATTAGTTGAAGCAGCAAAACATTTTAAAATTATCAACTTTGATATGAATTAAAATCAACTTTGATATAGTAATTATAGCAGTTTAAGAAAATTGAAAGTAGTGATTCATATTCACATAGAAAAGTTCTCAAAAAAAATTAACTTTATTAAGTTACATGCTATATTAAGATATCGTTACCTTAATTTGAATACAACTAAATGAATACAAGAATGAATACAAGTTATTTTTTTATTAAATTATCATGGTTTTATTCAGTTCAAAAGAAAATTTAAAAAATATTTTATAATCATTATATAACAGTTAAAACTATAAAATTTGGTAAGAAAAAAAAGCATACATTTCATTAAAAAAAAAATCAAATCTATTGAGTTTTTTTTGTTTTTGTTTTTTTGCGCTCCTAAAAATAGTCAAGAAATGACTAAAGTTGTATTTAAATTAAGGATACCATATATAAAATATAATTAAAATTAAGGATACGATATATAAAATATAATATAATTTAAATTAAGGATACGATATATAAAATATAATATAATTTAAATTAAGGATACGATATATAAAATATAATATAATTTAAATTAAAGGTTCGATATATAAAATAGGTTTACTTGAAAAAATAGAGATGTTTTAAATTCTCTTGAGACGACGTCTAGTTTTGTAAAGCATTAAGGTTTGGTACATTTTTTGGCCGGAATGGAATAGGATGTACTTTTGTGTTTAATGATAATTTATTAGATTTGTAGTTTTGAAAAGTTCTGCAAAGACGTAGATGTAAAATAAATTATCATCAGTTATTTTAATCAGTAATAACACATAGTTGTCTGATTGGCAAACCAGAATAAAGCGATATTTTTATGGCATATTTTTCATTTTTTTAAAAGTAGGATAGCATTAATGTCAAACAGTGTCAAACACGATTGGTAAATAACAGTATAAAATGCTTTTAATAGATCAATAAAGATTCCTAGATAAAAAAAATTATTATAAAAATAGCCATTTAAACTATTTACAAGATATAAAATGTTCAGTAATGTGTTACTTTTGAGAACCGAAATAGTTTTTTTATAATATTTCTTTTTGTTAAGTATTTATATAATTGTAAATTATTTGTTCAAGATCTTCATTTATAACTATTTAAAGTGAACAATCCTCTGGTTTTTAATATAGGCACAACTTTGGCCATTTTTTTTTATTTATCTGCAACAATTCCTGTTTTAATTAAACATGGAAATACTTCAAAAATTATTTTAATATCTAGAAGACACTACATTGCTACATATCTCATCAATTTTTCGCTCTTTCACAACCCAAGTTCTTTATAATTTAGTTCATCGAACATTAGTTCGCCATGTAAGATCCACGTGCAATTTTTAAAACATTTAATGTAGTTTTTTTTTTTTTTTAATGCTTTTGAAGATTTTTAAATTCCACTAATAATTCATAGACATACTTTGATTTCTTTCTTTTTGATCAGGTTATTACATTGTTTTAGTATATTATCAGGGCCGGGTTAAGTACTTTTTGGTCTCCTGGCACTTTAGATCTTCTCGCCTCTGTTGCCCTCCTAGTATTCAAAATTAACACCGGTTAAAAATAAAAAATTTTTGTTGCGCTATGGCTTATCAATCATTTAGTTATTATTATTAAATACTTATAAATAATGCACTCATTATTATATTATTTTATATTGTATATATTACTTTTATATATATATTTTTATTATTAATCAATTATTCATACTTACTAAAATCTATTTTAATTTTTCTATTTTTATTTTTTTTTTTTATTATTATTATTTTTATTATTATTATTATTATATTTATCATTATTATAATATTATTGTATGATTTAAAAAGGAGAATAAATATCTTGTTGTTGTTGTTGTTGCTTTTTAATGTTTTTTGTTTTTTTTTTCAATTATATTTTTATAACGTTAACTGTAATTCTTTTTCGTCTTTTGCTAAAATTATTTTTAATTTTTATTCTATTGTCTTTTTTAATTTCGTTATGTTTATTTTATTGTTATCCTCTCTTTTAAATAATTTGTTTTCTTTTACTATTTGATATTTTTGTATTTGCTAGATTTATGTATTAAATTTGTTTCTTTTTTCAACATAATGTTCGAACTTTAAAGTTTTTTCAAGTCATTAAAAAAAAATTATGCGCAGTTATTGCGAGAATTAAAAATCCCTGGGATATGAGAGGAAGTCGAGGACAGAAGCGGACATAATATTTTTTTATACAAATTATATATCTTTCAAAATTTCACTTCGATGCTCAGGCCCCTTGAACTCCGTGGCCTCCCGGCACGTGTCCAGTGTGTCCGTAGGATAACCCGGTACTGTATATTATTTATAAGTGCATTATGTGAAGAGCTTTTATGAACACAATTTCTTTATTGATGTAATTTAACCCAATCTACTAATGCCGATAGTGATAGTGATGCCGATAGTGATAGTGATGCCGATAGTGATAGTGAT